TTTTTAATGCATTGGATTATATTTTCTATTCATGCCTCTTACCTGTGATATCAAATGCCAATTCACATTGGATGTTCTGAAAACTCAGTCATTGAATTAATCTGAAGTATATAATAATTTTATCAATAGCTGAAATATTGTTATCGAAAATAATATATTTAATAAGTATAATATTAAAACCTTGTTATCGGCATTAACATCATAAATACCTCAGAAAGAATCTATGTTTGTATTCATGTATTTGACATCTACTACATCAATCGCTGGCAATTAAAACATACTTATACAATTTTAATTAGTAATTGATGGCTGTAGCATGAATCTGTTTATCATGTTTTGATGTGTACGCACTGAATACTGTATACTGAATAGTGAATACTGAATACTGAATACTGAATGTGCAAACGCTGTTCTATATTGCAGGAACTAAGTCAATTATAACTCGATTGGCGGGCAATTCAATGCAATGCCACGAATTTGTCGTTTGGTTTTTGTAGCTGCTGACCGAAATGCAACCAAATATTTCGTATTTCACTTAAATTAGTTAATTTTGTGCATAAATGCAAAAATGAATATACATATATGACTGTGGTCGCACTCCCCATATCCCTGCAACCACCAGCCCCAGTCCGTTTCGATTGCCATCATAATTATTATTCCGTTTTTCAATATTTAATTTGTTTTTGGTGCGGCCCGGTGTGTAGCCTCGGCTCATTTAGAATGTGGCACTATTTCTAATTAAAGGTTGCAAACGAAATCAAAACAACCGCGAGCCAGTTACGCAGCAGGACATCCAACCAATTTATATGCGTATAGTATGTGTATAGTGTGTGTGTGTGTGTGTCTGTGTGTGTGTTTGTGTAGTGTGTGTGCGTGTGCACTGTTAAGTATGCCATGATTTATGCATCGTTGCTAAATGTTGCTGAGGTTTTTGCGTTGATTTTGTGCAATTGGCTCGTGCCGCGCAGGTCGTCCTCTGCTTTTCTCTGCTCTGTTCTGCTTTGTGGCTCTGCCCGTGTGTGGCCAATGTCAACTATTTCGCATTCAAATTGCATATTCCACACGCACGCATAATTTAAGCTATTGAGCATGCATTACGCTCACGCACACAAGCACACACATACACACGCACATGTGACATTTGTGCTGAAAGCCAAAAGCATAACAAGTGCAGAAAATAGACAACGAAAAAAGTAATTCAATTAGGTGCAATAAGATGAAGGTCAAAGAGGGTTTTGCACTGAGTGCACAAAAAGTAAAATTTATTTCAATTACAAATTCTAAATAAGCTTAGCAAGTCTAGAGATTTTTGGTACATTTCATAGAAATTGGTGGACAACGAATAATAAATATAGTATAGTATAATCATGTAAAGAATAAAAGTATAAGGGAATTTAAACTATGAAAGGTGTTTTTTATATTTACCAATTATAAAAAATTCAAAAATTCAAAAATTCAAAAAAAAAAAAAAAACAAAAACAAAACAAAAAATACGAATTTAATAAGTTAGCTATAAAATATAAACTAGTAATATTTTTTTTTT